TTTTTGGAGTTTTTAAAAAATTTCCCGATATATTCCAATTATCAACACGTCGGAGCTGTCTTTTTTCAGTTTTATATGAAAAAAATAAAAAAGTTGATGTTTTATTTTTTTGCCGAGTGTAAAAAAAATTAACAAAAGAGGAAAAACCTGTTTGAGCTTTTCTGTGGATTTTTATCTTTGTGATTTTAGTAAAATTAATACTCAAATGATAACAAAATTACTAAAATATTCGAATTATTGTTATTTTGCACCATCTTCAAGTGTTTTATAATTTGTGGTAATTTGCTAAGACAAAGAACGTTTGTCATAAGCGTTTTTGTCGTCACTTGAAATGACATTTCATCAAATTGATGCACATTGATTCATAGAGTGTTAATATTATAAATATACATACTTTCAATTGTAGATATTAGTACGTCTGTTTTTTCTAACATAATTAACTTCGACAACCATCCCTAAAATTAAGTATTTTTATCATAATATTCAACGTAAAACATATTACTCAATTTGATATTGATATAAAAATTTTAAAACGAACTGTTTTTGTTTAAGCCTTTAGTTTTTATAATCAAAGGCATCTTTTCCATCAAGGACTCGATCAGATATTATCGTTTTGAATTTTGGAGATTATTCAGTGAAATTATTATTTAAAAAATTTTCTTTTGGTAGTTCGGCAAAATAATATGTTGTGTTTCATTAAAAATAATTCTGGGAAAAAAACACAAAATATATTCCAGTTATTAATATCTTAAAACTGAGTGACAACGTTAAGGAAAGAACAACGTTTTGATGATGACTCTATTTTCGTTTAAATAATAAGAATTATGTAAAAAATCAAAAAAATGTAAAAAACTGTATTAACAAGAGTATAAAGCATACTTGGTAGCTTTTGAATATTTTAAAAATCCAGTCTTTTTTCAAGCTTTTTTGTTTAAAAGTGCATTTTTTTTACCGACGTATTTTTCTCCAAGTAAATACAGATACAAGAAAAACCAGGGACCAAATCATAAACCAGGGACCAGACAAAATTAAGCTGTTTTATTTTTGGTATAAAGTTTCCTTGTTAAATAAAAATAAACAAATAATCGGGGTTTTGGAGGATATGTTATTTTATTTTCAAAAACCAGGACCAAGTTATAATAGACACACTGTTTTTTTATATAAAATAGAAAAAACTATAAAATATGAAACTCTTAAATAATCATTCAGAGTTGTCTCATTTGTTATAGCCCAGCCGAGCCAAAGTAAAGTTTGTTTTTTATATTGATTTATCTTCCGTTGTTGAATACTTTTAATAGTTATCAATCATTTACCAAATGTCTAACATTCCAATAATTTATTTATTCTTTACTTCATTTTCATTTATTGCGTGAACCACTTTTAATACTGAACAAAAAGTAACTTATCAAATCAACCGAATGAATAGAGAAGACTACGACATCTTTTTTTTGAAATAATGAATGAACGTTTTAATTGAATGGTTGTGTTGAAGTTGAAGATGGTTGAACAAAAGAATAATATTTTATAAATAATAATAATAAATAATAAATAGTAATAAACTTATTATTATAACTCACATTAAATTGTTGTTTATTCATACTTTATACAACACATTCATTTTTTCATCCAGAAAAATAACCGTTTGTAAAACCAAATAATAAGAAAATTACACACTTATTTATATATTTGCCCGTTTTATTGTATAAAATCCGCTTAATATTCAATAGCTAAAATAAGTCTGGTCTCTGGTTTTTCCTGTGGTCCCTGTTAATTCCGCTATTTGTAATCTAAAATTGGAGGTGTTTTTGTAAAATAATAAATGGTACGAAAAAATATTATAAATCTTTCACTTTTTGATTACAGTAAAAAGCATCTATTTGTGGGTTTTATATTTGTGGGTTACGTCTATTTGTGGGTCAATGGACCAATCAAATGCAAAACCCACAAATAATTATTTTGCTCTGGAACTTTGAATTTAGGTACACTTAAATAAAAATTATAGTATTTTTATAATTAAAATACTCTAATATTATTAATATCTTTCATTTTTTATGTATAAAATAGTGAAAAGTATTTAATTCACAATTCCATGATAAACCCACAAATAAATAATTTTCTCTGTTTGAAAATCCACAAATAGATGCTTTTTACTGTATAGTTTTGTTCAAAATGCTAAATTTAAAAATAAAACCTTGGAAAAAAATAACTATTTTTATCTTTTCAAATTGATAAGTTTGTTATTAAAATAATATTACAAAATTTATAAATATATTTGTTTCAAATTTTTTTAGTTATATTTATATTACATATCAATTAATCATATATCAATAAAAAAATATATATTGAAAATAAATATATTATATTGTATTTTCATTTAATTAAGTTAACTACAAAATCAATTACAATTTGTCTTGTAATTATATTAATATAGAAATAATTAAATAATTATAATAATATATTATTATTAATATTGTTTAAAATATAATTAAACATAAATAATAAAAAAGTTAAATAAATAAAAAAAATATTTATTTAAAAAAAACAAATTAACAATAATAATTAATCATTCAGAATTAATAAAAATTAACAAATTAAAATCAAGTAATTATAATTAAAACGATTATTTTAATTATAATCATTCATTGTGTTAATAATTATTACAAATAATTATTCAAATAAAATAAATTATTATATCAGATATATATCTATTTCAAAAAATAAAAATATAAATAAAATTTAATTTATTGAGGTGTTTCATATCAATTGTCAAAATAGGTTTTGAAATCAAAAATCATTTTGTGATTCAAATTACGGTATTATAGTTTTGCAAGTAGACCATTATTATCCAAATTTAAATTAAGAGCATGTTTCATTTGTGAAAAAATATTCTTTTAACAGAAACGAAAGTAGATAAAGTAGTAAGTAAAATATTTACTATTTCTACAAGTTTTGGATAATCTTTCTTCTCCATAAAAGGATAAACATCCAAAAGGTTATAACTTATTACATATCCTGTTTTTGATCAATTCAATGTCAAATTTTGACCTTAAGTAACTACCTTATGATTCTGATTTGATCAAATCCAAATTACTTTCAATAAGAGATTTCAATTTTTCAAGTTCTTCTTTTGTATCTTCGATTTTTTTGGGTATTGTAAAGTCACTTTTTCCTTCAAGTGTGTTATCAAAAAAATATTGATAATTTCATCTGGTTTGTAAAACATGTACGCGAGCCCTTCTATGTTAAAGTCGGTATTATCAATTCCTATTAAATTATTACCATTGATTAGTTCAATATCATTCTTTGGTAATTCTCCGAACATTTCACCGAGGATATTGTTCGCTTCATTCTTGTCAATACAATGTTCAACTTCTTCGATTTCTTCAGAAGTGGTTTCAACAACATCTTCACTATCAATCTCGATTTTATTTTCATCATCATCCATTGAATTGTTTGTACTGTTAACCAAATAATCTGGCAAATTGGAACACTTTTTCAAAACATCAACAAATTGTCTGATATCTTCAGAAGATGAAATCATGTTGAATTTGATATCAAAAATTTGAATAACACTTTGTAATTAACACTGTAAAAAATCCAAGTCAACTTCAGTGTTTGGGGTGTTACAATTCGAGTCATTACCCAAGAAATACAAATCCGAATAATCACTTTTTCGCACATTATTTAAAACATTAATCAGATACATTCGGAATAATTGAACTCGTTCCCCCAAAAAAACAAATTAAAATGATTTTTCTTCTTGGAATACAGTGCAAAAACTTTTCACAAGATACAGAACATCGTGCAAAGCTTTGAAATTCATAAGTGTTTTATCTTTATTCAATTCAAATGTTTCTATTATTAAGTAAAGATTTGTTTTTTAACAAAGATTTTTTTCATGTATGCAATCATATCATTGTGTGCTTTTGGTTGTTGTTGATACAACAAAATCAGACCATAATTTTCTTCGATATCTCTGATATTTTTTACAATCTCAAGCCATCGAGTCCTTGATGCCACACTAAGTGGAGGAGTTTCATACTCTCTAAACAAATAAAATCTTTTCAGAGTATCACTTTGGCAGAAATAAGTAACAAAAGCAGTCATAATTGCAGTCTGATCCATTCGGTTGCTATCTTCCGCGATTAAATTTACTCTGTGTCCAAAACAACTAACACTTTTTAAAGTTCGAGACACTATGCTTCCTTCAATGGTTTTGAGTTTTGCTTTTTTGACCAGATTGTAAAATTCAACAAATAGACCAACGTTTTTAGATGTATTAGAACTTGTTAAATCGAACACCAAAGAAATGATCAAGTAAATTGAAAATTTTATATTTAGTAATCTTGTGAATAACCAATTGGCCATTGCTACTTTACTTTTAGAATGGTTGTATTTTACTAGGAAAAGTGGACAACGTTTAATCACCTCACCAGTTAAATAACGCATTAAAACACCCATAATATCTTGATCTTTTTTAGACTAAGAATCAATTTTAATCATTGTGCATATTCTATTTCTGACTTCTTTGAGATCTCTTTCTCTGCGCATTTCGTTGTATTCATTCATTATTTTACGAACAGTAGAAGGACTTATTGATACCTTTTCGAAATTTTCGGGATTCATACAAAAAAACAATCTTTGATAATACTTAAGAACATCTGCAACTCCGTTCATTTGAGACTCTGAATAATTCAGATCAATAAAAGTCGATGAAATCATATAGGTTAATAACATCTTTTTCAATACATGGAGTGATGATTTTCTTTTTGGTTTGTTTTTTCCTTTTGCTGTTCTTCTTTCGTCTCTTAATTTTTCCATTGTTTCATATTTTTTAAACAAATAATCACACAAAACGAAAAAGCGTTGTTTTGATGTACTTCCACTCTCTGCAACAAACTCTCTAATGTTGAAAAATAACATCTTGTTGTCTCATTTGTTTGAACTTTTCTTTGTGATTTCATTGAAGAAGTTGTTGTTGAATATGTCGATTTTATTTTTTATCGTTTTTTCATCTTCTCTTTCCTATTTTTCATCATTTTCATTTTGATCAATAAAAACATTGTTTGTGTCTTCAAATTCGCTATCACTTTCTTTATCTGAATTTTGTTTAAATGACACATTTTTAGTGTCAGATGAAAAAGTTTAATTATCGTTGAAGTTGTTATAATCACTTTGTTGTAGTAAAGTATTTGTGATTGGGTTGTTTTCAATAGTTTTATTGAATAGTGTTTGTACTTGTTCTTGTACACTTTGTATGACTGATTGTCCAAAGATAACACTTTCGTTTTGGATCTGGTGTTCTTGCATTGCTTGATTTCTGAGAAGGTTGAGAGTTTCAAAAGTAAATGGCAAATATGGAACAGGAACGAAAGCAGGAGTGGTTAAGTTCCTACTCTTTTCTACTGCGTCATGCGGTCGGATACCCTTTAGATTCCCATTATTTTCTATTACTCCACTTCTCTGTGACTCTTCTTCTTCATTTTCTAATAACATTGTAGTTCTTCTAAATGTGTTACTGACATTGTTCTCAACACTGAAAAATGATGGAAGACATTGAACAGGAACAAAAGAGGAAGGTGTTCCGTTTTGTATATTTGCATCTTCCATTTGTATTGATTGTTCACTTTGTTCAATTGTTCCATTTTACTTGTTATTGTAAACGTATCAATAACTGTTGTCGTGTTTCTTCTTGGTCTTTTGGGGGGAGGTGGTGGGTGGTTTTTAAGTTTCAATTTTTTAACCAACTCATCTTTGTCTAATATACAACTAATTTTAACAAACGAATTTTGAACTGTTGTTTTATTTCCAGTAATTAAAAATTTGAATATTGTTTTTTAATTAATTCCAAATTGGGATCATTATCGGCCAAAATTTCGGGAAATTTAAAGCTATGGGTCGAATAATGGCGGTATAGCGAACCGGGTGCATACCATTTATTGTGGGTAAAACAATAAAACTTTGTTTCAAAACCATTTTCTTTTGCTTTTAAAAAACCCCTTAAAAACCAAAATTCACAAAATTCAAATTTAATGTTGTTGTGTATAAGTTCCATTTTTTGAGTTCTATTTTTTAATTATTTTTAGGTTTTTTTGATTATTTGTTATAGAACTTAAAATAATCTATTAATATACTACATACTCTATATTTACTATAATTTAACTATAAAAATTATATAAAAGTATTAAATATTTTTATAATAGTTGTTATAAAAACTTTAATAATACATAAAATTCATTAAGCTTTGACGATACAAGGTGAAAAAATACCAAGACATAGAATAGCAGTTTGAACCAAAGCCGATAAGTGAGCCACTTAAATAACCCGATTAAGGCTTAAAAAACTTGGCCGATACAATGGAAAGCCTCATAATAAATACAGAGGACAAAGTTCACGACAACATGAATAGATTGTCTGACGCTGCTAAAGCTGCTTTACAGTTTGATGAAATGTCGGATATTATTAGTATGGACGCGATCTTAGGTAAAATAAAAGACAACCTGACGTTGAAACAAACAACAATTTACAGTCTAAATTCTATGGTGTTGCTGATATGATTGAACAAAAACAGTAAAAAAGTCTCGAGTTTCATTCAAACACAACTTTAAGAATTCAACAAGTTGCAGAATTGGATGTTCTGATGATTTGAAGAGATAATAACTTTAAGAAGATTGTTAAGAACGCAACAAATGCGAATATTCTTCGCATTATTTGGATGTGTGAAATCAGGCAAACAAAAAAGTATCCGCTTCGATGTTATTCATATTCAAATTTTTAAGCCAAGACTGGTTTAATTTTATAGTTTTTTACTATTTTATTTGAATTGTCATAAAACATATTTTGAATAATCTTGTTATCATTAATCATTTCCCAAAAACTCATTTTGTATACTTTTTAAGTGTTAAAAATCCACATTTTTGGTAATAAAAATACTTTTGTACAATTAACGTATTAATTAATTTAATAAATATTAATTATTTTAACTATATCAAGTCATTTTTATTTCAAGTAAACTATATATAATATAATAACTATCGAATTGCCATACTTTATTCAATATGTATCATAATAAACGATACAAATATCATTATAGCTGTTCGGCGACTTTATAGTCCTTTTGAAAATCGCCGACTTTTTATTGGTATTAAAAGTCGCTGACGTAAATAATTGGTTAAATAACTATTCGAAATACCAATAATCATGTAAAAGATATACAAAAAATAAACTATATATATTTAATAGAATTATTATTAAAAAAATGAAACAATACCTTCACACATATATCTTCTCAAATCATTTTTTAAATTATATTTATATGATTATAATATAGCAAATTATAACAACTATTGTGTTTTTACACATTTTTGAAAATATAATATAATTTATTAAAGTTAATAGCTTTTTAGTTCTAAAAGAAGTCTTTTAAAACTAAAGAAGTCCCTTCAAAAGTCGGCGACTTTTAAAGGGACTCAAAAAGTCGCAGACTTCTCAGTAATATCAAAAGTCGCCGAACAGCCATTAGAGAAAATTAATATGACCATCACCTGTTAGTCATTAAACACATAATTAAATCGTTAGAATCATACATTTGTTGGTATTCAAAAAGTATAACATCATTACCACATTGATGACTTACAAAAATGCTTTTAATATAATTATTTCTTTTTTGTTATTTACTTTTGTACTTGAAAATTTCACTCTCCTTTACTAAGTATATACATGTATTTCAAATTCAACGTTTATAAGCTCATTAAGTATATTATTGATACGTATATCACTGTTTTATTGTTCTTAGCTAAACTAAATAAAACCCCATAATTTTTAATTATAGTAGTAATTAAATTGAAAAGTATATAATAATCAGTGTTTGTAATTGAATTGTTCTTAAAGTGGGTTCGGTTTAAATCAATTTTCAATATAAATTTCAATATAATAATAAACTTAATTTTTAAATCATGAATAATACTTTTTAAATGTGATAAACAATAATTCGAATTAAAACTTAATAACACAAATATAATAATAGTAGTATAAAAAATGTATTAAAAATAATAACACATTAAATAAAAATAATATCAATATAAGATTCAAAATTAGTACCAATAAATAATTGGTTTTATTATTATTTTTTTTAATTAACACATTTTTTTTATTTTTTATATATTAAAATAAATTAAATTATTATAATTAAATATATTAGATTTATAACATTTTCGTTAATTAAATCAATCAATATTTCTCTATAAGTTTTTGAAATTATATTTAATGATTAAAAATATATAAATTAATAGTTTTTTTGAATGTGATTTTTTTGTAAATTAATTTTACTATTTATTAATAGTTGTTATTAATTTTTATATAGTTGTTTTATTTAGATATATGTGTTATTAATATTTTTTTATTTTTAGATATTGTTGTACTATTATTTATTATATATTTAATTATTATTTTGAAAAAATTAAATTATACTTTATATTATTATTATTACACTAAAAAAAGTCAAAATTTCAATTTAACAGATAATTTTATTATTTTTAAGATTGAGGTTTTGTATATATTTAAGTTTCATCTAATAATATTTCCCGTTACTATACATCATAAATATCTGTTATAGTCGTATTTTTGCCGTTTTGGTTTTATTTTTTTCAACAATAGTGTATTATTTCTGTTAAGAACCGGGGTTTTTTAGTTGTAAAATTTTTAATGTATTTTTTGTCTTTTTTGGTCAAAAGGCGTTTATGCCTGTTGGTAAAAACAATTAATAATTGCAGTGTCATTTTGTTCATTTTGGATAACTTTTCATTTTTAATCGTTAAATAATACACTATAAAGACTTAAATGATCGTGAATTGAAAGACTAGTTCTAAATATAAAATGTATATGATTTATTTTTAAATCTGTATACTTTTTTGCACAATTCTAAAATAAGTTTGGTAAAAGTATTTTTCTAAAAATAAAAGTGTATTTTGTTGATTAAAAATGCACTCGATAATCAAAAAAAATCCAGGAAACAAAAATGAGACAAAAATTTTGTTAATAAAAAATGCAAAAACTACCGAGTATGGTTGGATTTACATTGACCACCACCACCACCTCTTAAAATAGTTTTATTTTTTCTATTTCGAATCATATTCAAATTAAAATTATAATAAATATAAAACTGGGGAGATATTAGGTCTGGTTTTTTTACTTTGTATCTATTTTTTATTATTAGTTTATTTATAATATTTTTTCAACCACATTTTATTGATAATTTTTAATTTTCAATTTATTATTATTAAATTATATAGAAATTATGAAAATAATATAAACCTAACCCACCATAAGAACAATTTACTTACAAATTCTGTTGTTTTGATTTTTTGAATTGAATTAATATTCCAATTTAAAAATATGGGATTTATTTTATTTAGCTAAATATAATTTAATAATAATACAAATAATAAATAACATAAAATAGATAATTAGCTGACCTTTATTAATTAACATTATTACTGATGTTTATATTATCATGTTTTTGATGATTATTTACAATAATAATAATGAATATAATAATATAAACAACTTGAGCTCTTTTATTCGGGTGTAAAAGTAATCGTCATGCCTTATAATTTGCCATTTTAAAATGAATTAGTTAAGCAAGGCAACTATGTCGTTTTATTATGGTTAATTGAAATATTTTTATCGATTATCGACTTGGTGTAGTCAATTAATTGTAAATAAATATTATTTTATTAGGTGTTCAACATTTTTATTGTTATCACTGAAAATATAAGTCGTGAAGAAGTTGTATTATAATTGTTATAATTTCTGATGAACTTATGGTTCACAGTCGGGTTTTACAACACCAATAAAAATATTTTCGACTAGTTAAATAAATATCAAATTCAAACTTATTGATAAACATACTAAAATACACACAACAATATGAAATACAAACTTGGTGTGTTGTCTGCTGCCTTATTAAAAATTTACTTTAAATTGAAATGTTTTTAAGACGATATCTTTTTTGTTTCAAAAAAGTTTATCAAAAATCTATTAACAATATTATATTTTTTATGGTTTAATTATGTTTGTTTTACTTGCTCTGTTTAGTGTTTTGAATGGAGCTGTTCGTGGGTTACAATTAAAGTTATTTATTGAAGTGTAATTGTAATAACAAAAAAATGTCGAGCATAATTTTAATCAAAGTAATAATTGAATTAATTTGAACAATTTATTTTTACAAATTTGTTGTGTTCTATTCAAAAAAAATCGTGAAAAAGTAATTTTATCATTATATTGAATTTTGGATTAATTGTTGTTCCTACCCCAGATTCACAAATATTTACCGTATTTACCATTATCTTTTTTATTGATTATATTACATTGTTATTATTTATTAACAAAGATTCGAGCACTTTTGATATCATTTCATCATTGCATCTTTACATTTGTTTTGTTTCAAACAGTATTTTAGTAGACTTTTTAAAACAAAACATGCCATTTTTTAAAAATTATTTTAGAATAAAAAAGTTGTTATATGTTAGCATTCTAATAATTAATACCTTTACAAATACATCTTCATATTTTTATCAAATTCCAAAGTTTAAATTCATTGTAATTTTAAT